GGCGAGAAAGAAGACCCTTGCAAGCGGCGCGGCGAGGCGCTCCGGGTAGGCGTGTTTTAGATTCCGAGTTTTGACATTTGGCCGGAGGGTGGAAGAGGAGGGGATATCTGATTAGCAACCCTTTGGAAGGGGACCTAAGTGAGGAGGGCCAGAAACATTAAGGGCAGGGGGGGTCTTTTCTGCAAATAGACTGTGAATCCGAAGACGAGGACCAAAAGCCTACCCTTCAGACGAATCCCTATGCAAAGACGAGTACCTAATTCCAATTCTAATGCAGATATTTCCCTAATGCAAAGACGGGGACCTAAGTGAGGCCACGTCTTCGATGTTTTTGTTTGGTGTCAGGGGTTCCTTAAATCTCGATGACATTCAGCAAGGAGCTGCAGGAGAAGGATGAGGAGGAGGACGAAAATAAGGAGAATGAGGAGGGGGGAGGAGCGGCCCGCGCCCATCGGCGAAACGATGACTACGTAACAAGAACGGCGACCATCTCACCGCGCCGAGAACGCTCGACGCAAGGACGACGACGATCGAGGATCGGGCGGTCGATGGAAATGAGTGGCACCTCTTCTGACGCCGCCGCCGCCGCGGAAAGCGGACTCCTGCATCTTGAGGCATGTCACCAAGCTGGGGTGGACCGTTAGCACGTCACCCGCCGCGAAGACGAAGGAGAGGACGTGACCCTTGTGCTCGCCCTTCGAACACCACAACTGCGCGATGCAGCTGCGCGGCACCTGAGCTCAAGCGCGGCGACGGCGCCGAGGGTCGGAGCTCGAGGGTCGGTCTGGCGTCCCGGGGTCCCTTCAAGCTGGGGACGTCGGGAGACCCCGGGGGGACCTCTGGGGTGGACGACCCTCTGCGACTGCCAAAACGGTCATCAGCCACGACTGCCCCTGTGACTGCCAAGACTGTGAAGTCATCCCCCCTCCCAAGACAGCCATCAGGCACTCCACTGCCCCCTCGGGCAGCGCGGGCGATCGTGTGTCGGGGAGCCTGTCGAAAACCCTGGCTGCGTCGAGCATGGGGTCCACACGCCCAGGCTGGCCGCCTCACCGCACGTGTGGCTCAGCTGTACTCGCACTTCCCTCAGCCCCCCTCCCACTGCCCCCCTTCCTTCCGGCTCCACCCTCGCTCCTCCACCTCCCGTTTCTCCTCCTCCCTCCTTCTGTGGGGCGCGAGGCCTCGGCTCCCCTCTCCCCTCCTCACCCTGCCTCCTCTCCTGGCTTGAGAATGAATGTCATCCTCCTCACCTCCACCTCCTCCTTCCTTCTCTTCTTCCTCTTCCCACCTCCTCATGCTCCACGTTCTCACCCCGTCCTCCTCCACCTCCTCCTCCTCCTCCTCCGTCTGGTACTTCCCCCCCGCTCCAGGGTAGAATCCTTTGGAAATGTTCACGGTATAATCAAATGGAAACTAGCATTTCCTGCATGTTCATACTTCCTCTAATCCCTTGACGTCCGCCCACTCCTTCCCCCGCTGCACCCTCCTGACTCACTCCTCCTGCCGATCTCCTCAGTCCGTCCCGCCTCCTCTTCGTCCCCTAGTCCGCCTCCTCCTCCTCTTCCTCCTCCTCCTCCTCCTCCTCCTCCTCCTCATCAGCTTCAGCAGCATGAACATCATCAGCAACAACATCATCATCAGCAGCAGCATCAGCAGCATCATTGGCAGCAACAGCAACATCCTTATCTTCAGCATCATCAGCATCACCAGCATCGTCATCATCACCATCATATCACCGTTCAACTCATCCTCCTCGTCCTAATCGTCCCCAGCAGCATCATCAGCAACATCATCAGTAGCATCATAGTCCTAATCCTCATGCTCCTCCTAATCCTCCTCGTCATCAACATCATCCCCATCATCCTGATCATCAGCATCACCATCACCATCATCAACAACGCATCAGCATCACTCTTGTCCTCAGTATCATGATGTTCATGATCATGATGATCATAATAGCAATCATCATCATACTCTTCATAATCAACATCGTCATCATCAGCACCAGCATCAGTACACGTATCACCACCATCATCAGCATCATCAGCAGCATCATGATCATGATCATGATCATGATCATCATCAGCATCATCATCGCCATCACCATCACCATCACCCTCATCATCATCACCACCACCACCATCATCATCATCATCATCGTCATCGTCATCGTCATCATCACCATCACCATCACCATCACCATCATCATCATCATCATCATCATCATCATCATCATCATCAGCACCATCATCTTCACCATCATCATCCTCCTCCTCCTCCTCCTCATCATCATCATCATCATCATCTGCACCCTCACCCTAATCCCATCGTCCCCCCATCCACCTCCACCTCCTCCACCTGCGCCGCCTCATCCTTCTCCTCCTCATTCGTCTTCTCTTCCTCTCCGCTCCTCCGTCACACTCCTCTTTACTCCTCCTCCTCCTTCTCCTCCCCCCGTTCCTCTCGTTCCCTCAATCAACCCATGCCGCCCGCTCCGCCTCCCCGCGCGGGAGCGCCCTCTCGCGAAGGCCCCCGCGAGGCCCAGCATCTCCGAAGCAACCCCCCTTTCCCAAGATCGGCTGCGAACCCAGAGGGGATTGGCACCGTTGGTAATTTTCCGGGGGTAACTGTGGACGCCGGAGATGGGTACGGAACAAATGGGTACGTTGCCCGAAAGCACATGTTGTCTAACACAGACAGCGGCCGCAGTTGGACAGGCGGCCTTCTGTCCCAAATAGGCGACAACGCCCGCGGCGATGCCGACAGCGAGTCAGTTTCAAACAGGGTCGGAACTGTTGCTGGTCTTCGTACCTACCCTTTCCGTACCAATTTCGATCGTGCCGAAGACCTCGGGTTATCCGCTGGGGGGGAGGGGGCGCTGATAATCTCACCTGTGCGCCGTGGGCAGCCCCACGTATGCCCGCGAGCACCAGCACGGCGTACCCCCTTCGGGCCTGCGCAACCGACAAGGTCAGGCTATCCTGGGGGGGGGGGGGCAGGGAACGACAACATGGATTATCGCCTGGCCCTGAAACCAACCGTCCCAAGCCCATGCGGCAACGATCCTCGCACCACGTGGCTCTTCTCCGTGCAAGCCCGCGGATCCAACCCACGGCGCACGTCTGCAACAACTGGCGAAGCACGCGCATGCCGAGAAGAGGCACGCAGAGAGAGAAAAAGAGAGGGGCAACAAGTAAAGAGAGAGAGAGAGAGTGGGACTGCAGGTTCCCACACCCGTCCCGCCGATGGAGAGCCACGATGCGGCTGCAGTCGCGGCAGAGAGCTACGCCTGGTCGGCCCTCCCACCAGAAAGCTTTCGGTGGCGGCCAGGACTCATGGGGTCACAGAGCTCACCATCGGGACCCACAGCTCTGCCAGCTAGCCTGCGACGCGACGCCCACGGGGATCGAGAACGCACTCGCCTGACGTGTTCTGAGCGGCCACGGCCCCGTCGTCGACGTCCTCAGGAGGCGCTGCAGGCGCAAGCAATCAACGACGTCGGCGCACCGTGACATGCTTCGTCCGGGGCGCATCGTACATCCGTGGAGGCACAGGCCGCCTCCGCTGAGGTCTAGACCACTTCCCAGGAGCTGGCGTTGCATCTTGAGGCGTGTGAGGTGACTCCGTGGGGACCGGGGCCGAATAACATATAATAACGAACAAAGACCCCGATGCCGAAGATGGCCGAACACAATTCGTCGTGATTTTTGTGCGTGTGTTGCGCAACGAGGGGGGTCAGTGTCCCGTCTTGGGTCAATGCGTGGAGTACTGAGGGCAGATGGGGGCTCATAAGTGGATGCGAAGACCCCCTAAGCTGCTTAGGCCACTCCTAACTAGATTATAGGCTAGTTCAGGCCAGATGATGCCGACCGTCGCATCCACGTATAACGCCCACATCCCTTAGCACTTCCCACGCGATCCAACACCTGAACAAGACGCTCACTGCACGTACGCATGATACCCAAAACAATTTCACAGATATCATGATGAGAGGCCATGGTGGAGGTCAACGATGCAGGGCCACGCCGGGGTGGCTTCCCCACCATGTGCAAATCGATGTACACATAAAATACATAAAGACTTAAAGACCAACTGCTTCGAGATACTTCAACATGGGGGGCCTGACCTCGGAGACTAAACTTGAGCAGGGACCGACCGTCCCGGCATTCCTGTCGACCTACCACGAAAAGTAGAACCCAGAAATGCACGAATAAGTAAAACCATGTTCTCCGAACATCGAACCGATGTGCTGAAACAGAAGTGTCCCAGCCAGAAATGTTCTAAGAACATCTTGTAGACACCAGAAAGGTTCTTAGAACAGTGTTGGGTGGGCCTATAAGCACGCCAAGACGCTTTGCCACTGCTTGACAAGCACATCGCTGGGCACTTCAACCAGTTCACACAATGTTCGGACGTGAGCACGGATTTCTTGGATCGGCGCGGGACCCCCTCCCCGGCGCGAGGGGCGCGCCAGTAGGGCCCAGCGCCGACATCCGCGCGGAGCCCAGGAAATTTATGGTGCAGCATCTGTTCTTACTCTAGAGAAGCCATGTCTCGTGCATCCCGCAGCGCCAACCCAAATTGGCTTTCCTCGAAGCCTCCTTCCAAAACCAGCTTTCCATCTTCGCAAGTTACCCGACCCCCAAACATCCCTTCCGAGACGAATTAACCTCCCTCCGATCGGCGGCGAGCGAGGGGGGAAAGTGAGAAGGAGCGGGCCTTCCCAGAGGGCTCGGAAGCCCCCTGGCCTTCTGAGAAGTTTTCTGAGCCTTCCCACGAAGACACAAAAAAACGCTCAGAAGGCGCGAGGGCTCCTGAGAAGCCCCGCCGCCTTCTGAGAGGACCTCCTCCCTCTCGCTTCCCCCCTCGCTGACCACCGATCCGAACCGCTCCTCGCGTGTGCGAGTGGGCCCAAAATTGGGGAACGGCGGCGCTGCTCGCAGGAGCGAGAACGGGGAGAACACGGGCGGGCTGGGCGCCTACGCGGCCACGGCTGGCCCCCACCCAGTGCATTACCCCAACGAACGCTGACCACGGCACCCCCCCCGTCTGACTTCAGTCGACGGAAACTTTGGGCAGAACCCGCGGCCCCTCCTCGAAAAGAACCTTCTTCGAAAGTGGCCCTTCCTCGCCGAAGGCGCCGCTAAAGGCTCCCAAGACACACGCAAGGCTCCTGTAGTGGGCGTCTTGCACACATGCTGTGGGCCTCCTGTAGTCTCCTGGGCACTCCTGGGAGCGTCTGCTCCCGACCTTCTCCCGAATGCTCTTCAAGCGCTGGGGCGTCGTCCAGGGTCGGCGGCACCGGCCGTGAGGCCTTCACAGCAACCTTCCTCGAAAGTGGCCCTCCTCGCCGAGAGCGCCTCGTACATCCCGTCCCTCTTCCTGTCGTCCGCCGCGAGGTCCCGCGGCCCGCCGCCGACTGGCTGGAGCACCCAGAAGGTGCCCTGGCCACGGGGCCGGCAGACTCTCGCGCCGCTCCTCGCTCTCCATCCCCCATCCTCCTCCTTCACGCCCCTCCTTTCCTTGTTCCTCTCTCCCCCGTTCCATCCTCCTCCTCCTGCATCTTCCTCCCTCCTTGTCCTCCTCCCCCATCCTTCTCCTCCCTCGTCCTCCCTCCTCATCCTCCTCATCCATCCTCCTCCTCCTCTTCCGTCATGCTCCCCAAGCCTCCCCCATCCTCCTCCCTCTCTGCTACACAGATGTTTGAAAAGATGCCTTGGACAAGGAGCGAAGGCCAAGTTGCCATGCTGGGCCTCGATTGCCCCTAGGTGCATGAAGAACGTCGGAGGAAACTCACATGTAAGAACCCAGAAAACATCGAGCCCCTTCCGAAACCCTTGATTTTCGGTGTGGGAACGTCATGCTTCCCATAGCAAAACCATCGACACCCAAGAAACTCAGGGCACCCTGGAGGCAAACAATGTGTTTATTGGCATGTGTTCCCACGGGATGTCATTGCTTGTTCCCCGACGCTTGCAGTGGGACGCGAAGGATGACATGATGTGACTCGATCAGGGTGCGTTCAGGAATTCTGGATCGTCTAGCGGCTCATTTTCATTGACGGTTACCCGATGTGCTGCCCCATCCGTCTCCTCGCGTGTGGCCGCAACGGGCGAGGCCTTCGGTCAACCCACAGCTGTGAGCCGCTCCCGCCCCTGCTGCCTCCTCCTCCACCTTCCTCCTGCTCCGTCCTCTTTATCCGCCTGTTTCCCCTCCTCCTCCTCCTCCTCCTCCTCCTCCTCCTCCTAAATGTCCTCCCTCCGCCTGCCTCCTCCTCCTCCTGTCTTCATCCTGCTCCCTCCTCCTCCTCCTCCTCCTCCTCCTCCTTATCCTCCTCCTCCCCCTCCTTCTCATCCTCTTCTCCTCCTCTCCTCTCCTCCTCCTCTCCTCCCTCCTCTCCTCTCCTCTCCTCTCCTCTCCTCTCCTCTCCTCTCCCTCTCCTCTCCTCTCCTCTCCTCTCCTCCTCCTCTCCTCTCCTCTCCTCCTCCTCCTCCTCCTCCTCCTCCTCCTCCTCCTCCTCTCCTCCTCCTCCTCCTCCTCCTCCTCCTCCTCCTCCTCCTCCTCCTCCTCCTCCTCCTCCTCCTCCTCCTCCCCCCCCCGCATTCTCCTCCGCGCCCCTTGGACATGTGGGCGCCCGCGAGAGGGCGCCTTTGTGCTCTCGCAGCAGCGTCACGCAAGGATTGTCTGAAGCTCCCTCTCGCGAAATCGTCGGAATCGGAACCGCGCGCGAGCGTCTTCCGCTCTTTCTCTGGGAGCGGCGCACGACAGCCCCAACGTGAAAAAGTGCAAGTTGCTTGCGCTTCGGTCCCCGATGTCGCCACGCCGCTGGTCCTCGACACGCCCAAGCGACCGTCGCCGACACCACGGCACACCCACGGCCGGCCCTGCGCCTCCGCACCCCAAGCAGACGACGCCGGCACCGCGGCAGACCCCACGGCGAACCCGCCGCGCCCGCGGCGGCGTCTGCCCTGGCGGCCGAGGCGCCCTCGCAAAGACGTCATGCCGCGCGGCGGCACCAACGGCGCGGCGACAAGTCGCCCGCCCTGGCTTCTGGCCACCGGGGGGGGGGGGAGGTCTGGGGAAGGAAGGGGCGCGCGGCCGGGTCCTTCGGCGGCGCCGCGCTCCTGCCGGCGGGCGCGGTGGGCGGGAGGGAGGAGGAGGAGGGGAGGGGGAGGGGGGAGGAGGATGAGGAGGAGAGGAGGAGGAGGGAGGAGGAGGAGGAGGAGGAGGAGGAGGAGGAGGAGGAGGAGGAGGAGGAGGAGGAGGAGGAGGAGGAGGAGGAGGAGGGAGGGAGGAGGAGGAGGAGGAGGAGGAGGGGGACGAAAAGGAAAAGGAAAGTGAAGGAGGATAAGGTGAAGGGAGGAGGGGAAGGAGAGGGAGGAGGAGGGAGGGGCAGGAGGGAGGGGAATTGGGGGACGGAGGGGACAGAGGAGGGGAAGGAGGAGGGGGAAAGGGGAAGAAGAGGAGGACTCCAGGTTCAGGGCTCCAGGCCAGGCGCGGCGCTCCGCGAGGCTGGCGGCGCGCCCCACAAGGAGGCAAGGAACGGGGAAGGGGGCAGGGGGGAAGGAGGACAACGACAAAAACAGGGCGCTTGGGGGAAGGAGGGAGGGGAGTGGGGAAAGGAGGGAGGGGGAAGTGGGGAAGGGGGGAGGGGGGGGGGTGGAAGGGGGGAGGGGGGAAGGATGGAGGGGGAGGGAGGGAGGGGAGGGTGGAACAGGGCGCTTGGGGAGACGAGTCCAGTCCGAGCCACGGGTTGGGACCCTCGAGGTCTCCCTGCGGGTTTTAAAATGCGTAGTGCCCCGCAGATGCGGATAAGAGTGAGGCGGCAGTGGGGACGTCGGCAGCCTGCGAGACTCTGGAGAAGCCCGCGGCAGGCGCCAACGTTCCACAAATTTCGCGACGAGCCCGCCGCAGGCGCCGATTTTTCCTCCAAGCCAATGTGGATCGGTCGCGGGTGGGTCGCGGGTGGGTCGCGGGGTAGTTCGCGGGTGGGTCGCAAGTGGGTCGCGGGTTGGGTCGCGGGTTGGGTCGCGGATGGGTCGCGGGGTGGGTCGCAGATGTGTCGCGGGGTGGGTCGAGAGCTGGGTCGCGGGGTGGGTCGCGGGGTGGGTCGCGGATGGGTCGCGTTGTGGATCGCGGGTGAGTCGCGGGGTGGGTCGCGGGGTGGGTCGCGGGGTGGGTCGCGGTGTGGGTCGCAGGGTTGGTCGCGGGTGGGTCCCAGGGGGAGAGGACGACAACAAACAGCAACAGCAGCAACAACAACAACATTACCAACAACAGCAACAATTTCAACAACAGCAACAACACCAACACCAACACCAACATCAACAACAACAACAACAGTAACGACAACAACAACAACAACAACAACAACAACAACAACAACAAAAACAACAACAGCAACAACATCAAAAATACCAACAACAACAATAGCAACAACATCAATAACAACACCAACACCAACAACAACAGCAGCAACAGCAGCAACAACAACAGCACCCACAACAACCACAACAACAACATCAACAACAGCACCAGCAACAACACTACCACCAACAACGACACCAACATTAACAACAACGACAACATCAACAGCAACAGCATCAACACCGACAACACCAACAACAACAATCATTGTAAGACTGTTCGCTCCGAGCTGCTCACCTGCGAATCAATACGTATATCCCAAGCCCTCGGTACCCGCCCTCGTCGTCTTCGATCGTACCCCCTTGGAGGTATATCTTCCTTACCTGCCACGTGTATTTACTGCAGCCCCTCAACCAAGGGAAGAGCGGACGGGTGTAAGGGGAGGAAGGAGAATGGAGCACGAGAGAAATTAGCAGGAGGGGGGCAAGGAGCAGAAAACAAGTGGTAGAACTAGACGGGCAGATCGGGTGGGCAGACCCATAGCGGGCAGGTCGGGAAGGCAGGCCCGGGAGAGGAGGTCGAGCAGGCGGGTTGCTGAAGCATGGGTCCTGCGTGAATCGCGAGGAAGTCTCGAGCGATAGCGCGATTCCCAAGTAAATCGTGAGAAAAGCAAGCGTGGGCCACGAAGGACGAAAAATCCGAGGCCGCAGAGGGCAGCGACGGGGCCGCTGAGGGCAGCGACGGGGCCACGAAGGGCAGCGAGGGGGCCACAAAGGGCGACAGCGGGGCCACGAAGGGGATGCATATGGGGCCACGACGGGCGCCAGCGAGCGGGGGCCACGAAGGGTATTCGTATACCGGGCCACAAAGGGCGACAGCGGCGCCACTGAGGGCAGCAAAGGGGCCACGAAGAGCAGCGAGAGGGCCACGAAGGGCGACAGCGGGGTTGCGAAGGGAGTGCGTATGGGGCCACGACGGGCGCGTGCGAGCGGAAGCCACGAAGGGCGTATAATGCGGGGCCACAAGAGGCAGCGACGGGGCCACCGAGGGTAGCAACGGGGCCGCGAAGGGCAGCGAGCGAAGGCGACCGCGGAACCAGTACGGGCAGCGAGGGGCATCGAAGGCGGGCGAAGGGCAGCGAGCGGCGACTGCAGTCCCTAACGGGCTGGTCGGGCGGGCAGGCCCCGACGGGCGGGTCGAGCGGGCGGGTCGTTGAAGCGTAAGTTCTGCTTGAAACGCCAAGCAATATTTAGCGGGAGCGCGATTCCTGAGTGTCGAGGAGCGGCATCTGAATAAATTGTGAAGAAGTATCAGGCAGGAGCCGCGATTCGGTGGTAAGTTGCGAGGAAGTCCTGAGCGAGAGCGCGATTCTTCAATGCATTGTGAGGAAGTATCATGCGGAAGCTGCGATCTGGTGGTAAACCGAAAGGAAGTCCCAAGCGCGAGCGCGATTCTTCAATAAATTGCGAGGAAATATCAGGCGGGAGCCGCCGTTGTTGTAAACAGGGGGCCGACGACACAGTTTGACCCTCAAGACTTTCCTTTATAAAAAACAAAGTGCGAGCCCTGGGACGGGCACTTCAATCGAGAAAAACAATGTGCACCGGACGGGGGGGATCAACAATAATTGTTCTTCAGAAGTGAGAATCCGACAATTACTCACTGCGTGGAGCTCCCCATCTGTGCATCTCATGTTTTATGTCATGCCGTAGTAAGCGTTCGTTCATGAGCGCTTGACTATAATAGCGCGTCCACGTGGGCGACAGGGCCGACGAAGACGAGCGAATCTTAATGCGAGTGAATGAGTATGAGCCAGAGTGGGCTTTGACTATGATTAGATTTGATCCTCCCATTCACTCCCCCTCCTCAGCTGCCAAGCCGTGCTGAAACCAGCGCCACGCCTGAGACGTCCTCAAAATCTGCTCTGAAAGCCAAGGATGTTCGGCATGAAACCGAACAAACCGCCTGAGACATCCCCACAAACTGGCCGCGAACGGGCCCGTGATATACCCCCTGGCGGCTCCCCTTAGGGGTGCTGAAGCCGGCGCCCCGCCTGAGACACCCTCAGAATCTGTTCTGCAAGCCAAGGATGTTGGGCATGAAAACAAGCAAACCGCGTGAGACATCCCCACAGACTGGCCGCGCACGGGCCCGTGATATATCCCCTGGCGGCCCCCCTGAGGGGTGCTGAAACCAGCGCCCCGCCTGAGACATCTTCAAACGTCTGCTCTGAAAAACCAAAGATGTTGGGCATGAGAACGAGCAAACCGCCTGAGACATCTGAAACCAGCGCCCTGCCTGAGACATCCTCAAAATCTGCTCTGAAAGCCAAGGATGTTCGGCATGAAACCGAACAAACCGCCTGAGACATCCCCACGACTGGCCGCGAACGGGCCCGTGATATACCCCCTGGCGGCTCCCCTGAGGGGTGCTGAAACCAACGCCCCGCCTGAGACAACCTCAAAATCTGTTCTGCAAACCAAGGATGTTGGGCATGACAACAAGCAAACCGCGTGAGACATCCCCACAAACTGGCCGCGCACGGGCCCGTGATATACCCCCTGACGGCTCCCCTTAAGGGGGGCTGAAACCAGCGCCCCGCCTGAGACATCCTCAAAACCTAAGTAAGTCTGTGAATGATTAGGTCTGAGTATGAGTAGGTCTGCGTATGAGTAAGTCTGTGTATGAGTAAGTCTGTGTATGATTACGTCTGGGTATAAGTAAGTATGGGTAGGAGTAAGTATGTGTATGAGTAAGTCTGTGCATGTGTACGTCTGGGTATGAGTAAATCTGAGTATGAGTAGGTCTGAGTCTGAGTATGTCTGAGTATGAGTAAGGCTGTGCATAAGTAAGTCTGGGTATGAGTAAGTCTGAGTATGAATAAGTCCGAGAGGAGGGGAGGAGGAGAGGCAGTAGGACGCGCCCAAGTAATAGCAAGAACCCCAATCTTAGGAGATGGGAAAACAACAGCAGCAACAACAACAACAACAATTACTAGCACGTGGGGACATTCCGTTCTCACCAGTGCCAGGGTTTTCATACGACGCCCGCCAATACCCCCACTTTGTGGGGGGGCCGGTTCAAGCTCTACCACATTTCCAAACGACTCTTCGCCACCACCCACACCCAGCTTCCCGCCCTATGACGTTCGGACACTTCACTTCGTGGCCTGCGGACGACCGTGGCTACTACACTGGCGCATGGGTACAGTGACTTGTTGTGTAACATTTTTTAGCTCGGACAGCGCGCGCGGGTAGAAATTTTGAAAATTCGTACAGATGTTTTTCGAGGACCTACGGTGCGATTCGTATGATTTTATGTTGCGCGGTGCTAAAATTCCTAAGAAACCCAATGGTTTTTGAAGATTTCGGCGTGCGCGCGCGAAGAAAAAACGAATGTGTCCCGCATGGTATTATTTGACAGGGATGATGGCCCTGGCAGGTGCGCAACCGTTGTTGCAGAAGTTCGAAAAAGTTGCTCGCAAAAGCCCGTTTGACAGAAATGTTTAAAAAGTGTTGGGTTTCCTACGAATCCGCAAGAGCGCGCGGGATGAAATTTTGACATTTTTTTTTGAAAAACCATTGGTTTTTTGATGTTTTTATGTTAAAATCGCTACGAACACTAAGGTTTTGGAAGGATTTCGTCTTGCGCGCGCGAATGTCCACTTTACCTTATTTTTTGCAAGGGATTCTTGAAGTTTGGTTATGTTAGAACAAGAAATGTCCACTTTGCCTTATTTTTGCAAGGGAAAACCGCCCGTAACAAAACAACCGGATCCGGACCAACCCGTTTTGCCGGAGACTTCCTCACGAAAATGATGAAAACATGGCTGCGGCCTAGGCGCGGCGAGGGGGCCGCGCACCAGGGGTCCCAACAATAATTATTCTTTAGAAGTAATAATGTTCAACAACGCAACAAGCATAATCCCCACCACGGATTCTCACTTCAGCCACGCACCCAGGGACAATGAATGACCGTTCGGCTCCATCACTCTGATGTACATAGGCAGGGCCCTTCCAGGGGCCTGCTCACGGGATCGCATTCGGGGCCATGGAACGCTCACGCTTGAAACAAGACAGAAAAGGGCGGGGGCCAGCACTGGCCTGCCGCTGCAGGCGAGGGAGGCCCCCCGGGGCCGATAGCAGGAGGGGGACGGCGGCGGCCCGACGGTGGCAGCAGGATTGCGGCGCCCCGATTCCAATCGCGCTCGGCCTCTCGGAGAGGGCGGCTGGTGCCGCACTGGTGGCGAGGAAGAAGAAAGAAAACACTGTAAGCACAAACTTTTGGCGCTCCGCGCGGATTGCTTGGACCTGCGCTGGGCCCCCTCCCTGGCGCGCGAAGCACGCCAGGGGCGGCCTTGGAGGCGCCGCCGGGGGAGCCCAGCGCGGATCCAAGAAATCCGTTTCAGACGAGCGCGCCCCACTACTCGCAAAATGACTACTCGCAAACGGCCTGGACCCGCTGGGGGCATCTACGAGAAATTGTACCGAATCAGCCATGTGCTTCTCGTGCGTTTTCGAACCGGCACTTTGCGAGCAAAGGGCACGCGCTCGGTGGCGCCTGTGCCCCCCGACCGCGGGCGGCCCCGCGGTCCTGCCGGCGCCCTCGGGGCCGCGGGCGCCGCCCCACGCGGGCCCCTCCGTGCACCGCCACACGGCGGGCGCCAGGCGGCCGTGCAGGTTGTGGCCTCGGCCGCGCCCCGCCGCCGCGGAGGGTCGCCACCACAGAGGGGGGCCCCACGCGCCTCGTGGTGCTGTTTCGGGTGGTCGCTCGTGTGCGAAGCCACGCTGCCCGCCCCCTCCGTCCAGCCACCTGCTGGCCCCCGTCCTCCTCCTCCTCCTCCTCCTCCTCCTCCTCCTCCTCCTCCTCCTCCTCCTCCTCCTCCCCTCCTCCTCCCCTCCTCCTCCTCCTCCTCCTCCACCTCCTCCTCCTCCTCCTCCTCCTCCTCCTCCTCCTCCTCCTCCTCCTCCTCCTCCTCCTCCTCCTCCTCCTCCTCCTCCTCCTCCTCCTCCTCCTCCTCCTCCTCCTCCTCCTCCTCCTCCTCCTCCTCCTCCTCCTCCTCCTCCTCCTCCTCCCTCCTCCTCCTCCTCCTCCCTCCTCCTCCTCCTCCTACCTCCTCCTCCTCCTCCTCCTCCTCCTCCCTCCTCCTCCTCCTCCTCCTCCTCCTCCTCCTCCTCCTCCTCCTCCGCCTCCTCCTCCTCCTCCTCCCTCCCTCCTCCTCCCCTCCTCTCCTCCTCCTCCCCCTCCTCCACCTCCTCCTCCTCCTCCCCCTCCTCACCTCCTCCTCCTCCTCTCCTCTCCTCCTCCTCCTCCTCCTCGCTCCTCCTCCACCTCCTCCTCCTCCTCCCTCCTCCTACCTCCTCCTCCTCCTCCTCCTCCTCCTCCTCCTCCTCCTCCTCCTCCTCCTCCTCCTCCTCCTCCTCCTCCTCCTCCACCTCCTCCTCCCCCCTCCTCCTCCTCCTCCTCCTCCTCCTCCTCCTCCTCCTCCTCCTCCTCCGCCCTCCTCCTCCTCCTCCTCCTCCTCCTCCTCCGCCCCCCCGCCTCCTCCTCCCTCCTCCTCCACTCCTCCTCCTCCTCCTCCTCCCCTCCTCCTCCTCCTCCTCCTCCTCCTCCTCCTCCTCCTCCTCCTCCTCCTCCTCCCCTCCCTCCAAAACGTCGTCGGCGTGGCCAATATTTCCCTACCCTGGTACAGTGCTTTTTCCACGTCGTGCACTGCAGCCCCTGCTTCGGCCCCTGGGTGTGGCCGTGGCGCCGCCCCGCTTCCTCTGGCCAGCCGCCCGGCCGCGCCACTGCGACGCACGTCGCCACCTGAGTGCCCTCTCCTCCCTCCCTCCTCCCTCGAGATCGATTTCGCCTGTCTCTCCCTCCTCCCGCCGCCGGCTTGTTTGCGCTGTCCGTTGCCTGGGCCGCCTCAGCGCGCGTGCGGACTGCCTCTGCCGCGCGGCGGCGTACAATTGTTCGAAGCCGCGCGGCACCACGCGCATATCTGGGGAGACCAAAACGTGCCGATGCCGCTGCTCCCCGGACCTATCCCGGGGCGCGTTTTTCCCCGTTTCGGTGTTCTTCCCCTGCAAGCCACCCTCATAGCAGCACAGGGCTGAACCTAAACGTTGTTTGCCGTTTTGGTTTCGCTTTGTGTTTCGCGCTGCTCTACCTGTTTTCCTGTACCTCCCCCCACAGCGAAACAAAACACAGCCGAAGTCCAGCAACACAGCGTTCAGGTCCAACCGCAGCAAAGCACGGCCACGTGCACCGTAGCACATGCACAACAAGGAGGCGTGGCCAGAACTGCGGCCAGCGCTGAGGCGAGCGCACGGGTTCTGAATCAATTATGAGGCAGTCTCGGGCGAATTGGATGCCGGACAGGAGGGGAACTGGGCGCTCTCGGGCTCCCCGTTCCCACCCCCCGTGGGACCATGCGGCGTTTCCTGCGTAGCTCCATCGGCACTCTCCCGCGACACGCTCCATGGAGGAGCAGCGCAGATGTGTCTCGCCGTCTTCGGCATCTGGGGGCAACGGCCCGGGATGGAGTGTCCGGTCCTTCGGGGGGGGGTCCAGATCTTCAGGAGACCACGGTTGGGACACACCGCGACGTTGGAGACCTGGGCTCGCCCTCTCTTCGCAAAAACGGGCCCGCCTGTACCCCGCAGGTATGCCCCCAGGGCTCCCAATGGCGCTCAAGAAAAAAACGTCCTCGATCTCGTCGAATTGATGCCCTCCCTCCTGCTTAGCTCTCCTTCTCGTTCATCCCTCCTCCTCCTCCTCCTCCTCCGCATGCTACTCCTCCTTCTCCTCCTCGTCGTTACTCCTCCTCCTCCTCCTCATCCTCCGAGCGAGCTCCCCCGAACGGACAGTGTCTCACCGCGCGCGGGCATCCTTGACCACCAGCTACCTGAAGAGCTAGGGCACCGGCCAGGCCTTGAGACCTGGTGGGAGGCGTCCTTGTGCCAGCCTCGAAATGGCTCTCCTCCCGCCTTCGGTGGGAGGATCACAAACAGCCTTTAATTGACTGCATGCCCAAATAGACCAGACCTCACACCTCGCACACCAACTGATTCCGTTAGTGAAATGCAGAAAAGGGGGCTGCGTGTCGGGTGGATGCCTAAAACCTTGGGCGTACAGGGTTGTTTTAACCATGTGGGCACTCTGACCTTGACACTGCCTTGTTTCAAACATCTGAAGCAGGCAATGCTGTATTCGGGCGCTATGGGACCTGTGATGAGGCAATGGGAGGTCCTGAGAAGAGCTTCCTGAAGGGCCTGTACACCCCTATGGGCTCTCAGTCGTCTACGCTCCTCCTTGATCTCCTCGTCCTCATGTGGAGCTAGGTACTGGTGCTCCCAATCATGAACCTGGATGGCTGGGAGACGGTCTCAGATCACGTCAGCTCGAATGTTCGCTTCCTGGATTTGGCGGGCGACCTGAAAGGCAACTCTGCGTCTCCGAGCTGCGCAACTTGCGATCTCATCAAGCTGCTCGTTGACATTTAGGGCCCAGGGCGGCTCCTTGGCTGCCTGCTCCTCCGTCGGGTGACTTTTGACCTTCTGGGAAAAAAATCTGGTGAACCCTCGGGTCTGAATATGTCCAAAACTTCTTCCAAGCCTGCGGGTTATTCTGACGGGCCATGGGTCCTCACGAATCCTTTGATGATATAGAGAGGCAATCGGTCACAATGATCATGGGGCCGCCGGTGGCTTGGAGACGTACAATAACTGCGGCAAGCTCGGTAAGAGGAACGGGCTGCTCCCCTCTGATGCCTCCTGAGAGCGAGCCTATGAACGAAATGGATGTGGACCAGAGAGCGGCTCCACAGCCACAAACGCGTAGGCAGTCCTCCCTCTCCTCCTTTTCCTCCTCCTCCGCCTTTCCTCCCTCCTCCTGCTCCTCCTCCTTCCTCCTCTTCCTCCTTCTCTGTCTTCGGTCCTGCTTCCTCCCCAATCTCCCTTATTCCTCCTCATAATCCCCACCCGTCCTCGATCAGCGATTTCAAAAGGCGGTGATTGCCATCTCTACTGGTGGCCCCTCGTGGCTCAGCCGCTCCATTCGTGAGGCGCCATTTTGAACTGATGCCACCTCAGGTAGCACGCTATGGAATATCATTTGAAACAGGTGTGTTCCTGACCTCTACCGGCGGTGCTAAGCTATGCCGTCGGAAGACCGAGACAACGGTAGGCCTCCTTCCTCGCCCTTCTCCTCTTCGTTGCCCGCCAGTCTTCTGTGGTTACCGGGTTGCCCGCTTCACCCCAAAGCGGCCGCAGGCTGTTGAAAGGGTGGATCCACGTTGGGAGGAACTGCGCGAGTTCAATGGTGGGTTGATCGATGACTCTTTTCGCAACGTTCGTGCTCTTGCATGTTCATCCAAGTGTTCGGCAACCCAAAACCCTCGAATGCCTCGGCCACGAACGAGTCGCTCAGATCAACCCACAGTTCAGCTCGCACGTCCCCTCAGTGGGCCCTTCTGGACGACCGGTGGCGGTGCTTCTGAAGTGGTACCTCGCTCCTCCAGACTTGCATGAAGGTAGGATTCGAAACAGCCCACAATCCGATTCATGTAAGAAATCGCGCGATACCCCTATTCTTCGAGCAACATCTTGGACACGGTCTTCGGGGGTTGGAGTGGCCGCGGGATGGTGTGTTCATGCCGTCAACGCCTGTGATCGGTCTGGCCATGGTCGGCTCCGCGGAGCGCCTGGCCTCCACTACCTGCTCCAGCGGAAGAAGTAAGAGGATCGAGCAGGAGGATCGCCGATGATTCACTAGGTTCCGTGGTCGGGCAAGGTCAAAAAGTGTCAAAGGGGCTCGAGTCCGCCACGAAAAAACACACACACACATATCAGTGTGTATATATATATATATATATATGTACCTATACGACCACCCTGCGGGTGATAAGGAGGTGAGGGTGGAGGGGAACCAACGTCTCACTCAATAGATCTCGCTATCGATCTCACATTCGATCTCATTATCGATATCACAATCGATCTCGCTATCGATCTCACTATCGATCTCACAATCGATCTCACAATCGATCTCACATTCGGTCTCACATTCGGTCTCACTGTCGATCTCACAATCGATCTAACAATCGATCTCACAGTCGATCTCACATTCAGTCTCACATTCGGTCTCACTATCGATCTCACTATCGATCTCACAATCGATCTCACTATCGATCTCACATTCGGTTTCACATTCGGTCTCACTATCGATCTCACAATCGATCTCATTATCGATCTCACAGTCGATCTCACTATCGATATCACAATCGAACTCCCAATCGATCTCACAATCGACGCCATCATCATCATCATCGTCATCATCATCATCATCACCATCATCACCATCATCACCATCATTACCATCATCACCGTCATCACCATCATCATCTCACATTCGATCTGACTATCGATCTCACAATCGATCTCACTATCGATCTCACAATCGATCTCACATTCGGTCTCACTATCGATGTCACAATCGATCTCACAATCGACGTCATCATCATCATCAACAACAACACCAACATCATCATCATCGCCATCATCACCATCATCATCATCATCATCATCACCATCATCATCATAATCATCCACATCATCATCGGGACACCGACGGGACACCGAAGGGACACCAGCGGGACACCGGCGGGACACCGCGCGCCACCGGCCGCCCGGAAGAGACACATTT